AGCCAGATCTACTGCGATTTACAATGGGACAGCGTCGCCGGCGCCCACACCCGACCAGAGCCGACCAGCGCCGACCAAGCAACCACCAGACCCTCTAACGGAGCCAGGTGTGTGTGATCTCTGTGTGGTGTTGTCTCTGTGTGTGTGTGTGTCGTGTGATCTCTGTGTGTGTTGTCTCGGTATATGTGTTGTCTCGGTGTGTGTGTGATCTCTGTGTGATCGCTGTGGGCGTTGTCTCGGTATGTGTTGTCTCGGTGTGTGATCTCTGTGTGTGTGGTCTCTGTGGGTGTTGTCTCGGTGTGTGTGGTCTCTGTGTGTATGATCTCTCTGTGTGTGTGGTCTCTGTGGGTGTTGTCTCGGTGTGTGTGGAACGAGTAGCGGGAGGAGCGGGAGAAGCGAAGCGAAGCGGGAGAAGCGGGATGAGACATATAGAAAAGAAGAACCCCACACTAAGATGTGGGGAAAAAACCAGAAGTTTATTGGTCAGAATCAAGATTCGATGCTCAGGGTAAAAGTGCCATGCGAGGTGCTCGACACTCTGTCCTTGGTGAGGAAGTAAGTCAATGGGACACTCTTCACTCGTCGGCCTGTAGGCTCCTCTTCGACGAACATAGTGATTCCTAGTCCACATGCCATGCCGGTGGAAGATCTGCGATGTTCTGGATGTCAATGTCAATCTGTCGGTTCATGTTTTGTGTGCAGACACGTGATCATTTGGCGTTGTTCGAGAAGTCTCTGACTTGCCATAGGAACTTGGCTTTGTCAGGAAGGATAGTGTCTCCTGTTTGTCTATCCTGGCTGTTTGGCGTCGAAAGCTTTCTCCGGCAGTGGCCTCATAGAGTCGCTTCTGGTGTTCTGGTACGACTGCTGGTGGTGCTTCCACTGGTGATGAGGTGTCCTCAGTCGCTGGCGATACCTCAGGTGTGATTTCTTGTTGTTCAGCTTGTGCTGTTGTTGGATTGGATGGTTCTTCTGCCGGACTCATCGCTGTTGTTGGATGCGCTGATGTTTCTGCACTTCCTGAGGCTGACGCTGGGGCTGCTGTCGCTGATGGTGCACTGCCATCTGGTTCCGGTGGTTCTTCCGGCTCTTCCACATCCCGCACGAGTTGCTCAAATGCGTCGTCGGAAGCTGTCTCCACATCATCGTCAACCTGGAAGGTTGCATTGATGTGCCTGTCCATCGGTAGTGCAATGATCTACCTGCATCGATTGTTCTCCAGTCATCTCTCAATCTAACATGCTCTGGATGGGGAAGATCCCGTCTGACGCTGGTCACTCTTTCATGTCGAAATCGATCTGCAGGCACTTCCTCAGTGAGTGTGCGTGGGCACATAGAGCTCCTTCCGGGCGATGTTGTGGAATCTCCCATGTCTTTTGATCATCACTCACTTGCCAGTAATCTGCAAGTCCTGCGTTGGCCCCTGTGTCCAAGTCACCCTCAGGTTGCTCCTCTTGGTCGAACTCCTTGTCTTCCTCATCACTGGATACTTCACGTCGCTGTCTCTTGTTGGTCTTGGTGAGATCCGTGTATTGAGTTGCGCCTCGGCTTCTGATGTCCTGTAGTGCTTGTTGCGCACGGTAGAAAGGATCATCATCAGGCGCTTTGCTCTTCTTATCCCGAGGGACTGGTCGTAGATGCTCTGGCGCAGTCCTGAGCAAGGCTTGCGCCACGCACAATCCAATAGATGGTTGAGTGAGGTCCACCATCTAGTTGTTCCAGGTCCATCCCTGTAGTAGTAGCATAGGTCACTGAGGTGGAAGACTGTGAGCTGTCCAGCGAACTTCCGGTTCATAGCTCGTCGAAGGCGGGCGTCGACATCTGCAGAGAAGACAGCGTTTGCAGCCGATTTCTGTTGTTGCAGCTTCTGGAGAAATTCATCTGCTGGATCCAGTGAAGGAGGCGGCAGTGGCTCTTCTGACAGCAGACCTGGGATGTGTGGTGTGTAGCCTAGAACCCATTGCGCGGGGCTGTAGCCACGTACATTTGTGCCTCTGTTGGCCAGGCGTTCTTGGCTTTGGCCTGGGGAGATGTTGAGCTCAATCCCTTGTTCTGAGCACCAAGACTTGACATAGTCCGAGGCCCAGCTACAATGGTCGTCCACCTGAGAACCCTCCAGTGCAAGGATGAACTCTTCTGGGGATTGCCTCCAAATAACACGACCACATAGAAACCGGGTGGTTGTGTCACTGACCATCAACACAGGGAGTGATCTCTGCATGCCAGGCATCTTGACAGCGCACTCATGGTCTTGAACACGCTCTATCAGGACGCTAGCAAAACGCTTCAGTTCGCCATTGGTGGGGTGACCCAAATTGCGATGAAGTCGGCTGATGATCCGCTTTGCGAGCTGCCGATCAGGTTGTTGGAGTCGTTGTAGTACCCCTTCCAATCTGTATCTCATCGTCTCCAGCGGGTGCAGGGCGCTGATTGGGCTTCTGTTCCTGCCACGGACGGTGTGTACTCATTGACTCAGACATCCATGTCCATGTCATCTTCCTCAAGGCCATACTCTTCACACTCATACCTTCAAGGATCCCACACCAGGAGTGTGATCTTTAGGACGCTTCCAGGTAGGCTTCTTGACATATTATACTGGTCCTATCTTCATCTCATAGGCGCATTGATCTAGTCGACATGCCCATCCAGGTAGATTGGACCAGGTCTGGGTTGTCCAGGCTTTGGATCCAGCAGGGTGTTCAATGGCTCCGTCTCGGCCTCCATTGTATTGGATGGCGAAAGTTCGCTCAGCCAACTTCAGACGTCTCGATCACACTGTAGGGCGAACTCCTGCTCTGGTGTCAAGGCATTCAAGGCTTGCATCTTAGACCACTTCTTGCAGGCAGGGGCCAACCAAACAAAGTCGGGGGCACATCCTCAAGCAAGGCATTTCTGTGCTCTGGCTTGTCAAAGTCCCAGCCCGTGTTGATGTCGAAGCTGTGGACCGTGGACCATGTAGCCAGGCCGCTGCATCTCCAGCGAAAGTCCAGCTTCTCGAAGAGTAGACTTCCCAGAACACCTTAGCGCCGGTTTCATGAGCGCGCAACCCTTGCTCGAGGGCCGTCCGCCGATGCGCAAAAATGGTGGCATGATGCCACGAAGAAGCTAGATCTCGTCCGGTAGCCTCCAAGTATTGAAGCAGAGTGTAGGTGGACGTATGCATGGTGCCAGACCTCTGCACCATCTCAAAGGTCCGCGAACTCCCTCATCGAGCCGGAGGTGATGGCAGGTCTCCATCCATGGTCACCGTAGGAGATGAGGTCCTTGTCCCAGTCCACCTTCACCTTCAGGGCCTTGAGAATAGGCCTGCCCATCCACAAGAAAGCGTTCAATCAGGCCGGACTGTCCGTTCAAATAGACTGGTAACTTCACCGTCCACTTGGCCTTCCGAAGGGCATCTCCTCCAAAGCCAAACATCTTTGTCGTGGGATGGAATGTGAAGCGTTCCAGAGGAACTCCATGTCGATGCATGTACTCGATGATGTTCATCAAGACTTCATGATCACACACCGTGCTACTGGCTCCTCCGTCCTGTAGACCAAACCATCCCTGCTCTGACAGCATAGGTGTTCCGCGTTGGCTGAGGTCGTGCATCATGAAGGCCTGTCCAGTCGATTTGGAAGCAGCGTCGGTCTTAGCACGTTTGGGAGATTGTGATCCCGTGTTGGAAGGGCATTCAGCTGCTGCATGGCCAAATCGTCCACACTTGAAGCATTGCATCGTATCCAATGCTGTGCGACCACGGTTGAAAGCTGAATCTTTCTGAGGTGGAGTCTTGCTCTTGCCTTTTCCTTTCTTGCCCTTTGATCCCTTGCTGACAGGTCGCTGGGTTGTCGCTGAAGAAGAGGAAGGCGACCCTGTCATCTCCGATTTTGATGTCAAAGAGGTTGGCAAACTGCCGTCGTGCGTCAAGATAAGCTGCATGCGCTTCTTCCAGAGCAGGGTCCTGCTCTTCCGACCATGGATCATCCTGGTAGTAGAGCTCCTCGTCCTGGCCAACGTAGGCGAGGTCATCCTCGTAGTCCTCGTAGTTGGGATCTTCTTCAAATAGGCATCTTCTTCGTTCTGGCCGTAGGCCTCCTCCGTCTCGTCCTCATAGTCCAGGTCGTAGTCTTCAGCTCCATAGGCTTGTTGAGTCTTTCTGGGATACCAACGTCCCTTGCCCTTGGCGTTTTTGTTCCATGCCTTTGGTTGATCGCCTCGGGTTTTGTAGTGCTGGCCCAGCAAATAGTACATGACCTCTTCAACTTTTGCCATTTTCATCTCTGGGCCAACCTGCGACTGAATGAGGTGTCGTTGTTCCTGGGTCAAATTGCTCCTTCTAAGAAGCATCCAACCACTGACTCCGTCTGGAATGGTGATCTTGTGTTTGGGGATCTCCCGCAACTGCTCACGATGTTCTGAGCAATACGACAAGAGCGCTTGATCGCTCTTCCTGCTGAGCTGGTAGAAGAACTTCTCCAATGCCCTCGGCATTTCCACACGATCATCGTATTGGAAGGCGGTGTCCAGCACTTCCTGCTCGAACCCGTCGGAGGCCTCTGTGACTTTCTCGACAAGATGTTCCACCTGCTTCCAGGCTGTTCCTACTTGGTTGACGGCTTCTACGTTACCAACATTGGTAGCAGAGCGCTACCAGGGCGCTCCAGAGCACTATGCCGCCACCAACCTCGAGTCCTTCGGCAACCTCTTCGGCAAGGAATGGCGCCAAGAAAGAGGCCATCCTGAACCTCTTGACGAGCCTTCAGGGGCTAGCGAAGTCCCCTAAAGAAACTGCAGAAAGAGAGGCCTCACACCAAGAGGCCACGTGCAGCGAACACGCTGCCTTTTCAGCAGTCCATGGCTCGTGAGCCACGGCGCCCACCACTTCATTTGAGGCGAGCGCGGCGTAGTCAGAGTTTCAGGTTTGCCTACCTATGTTCATGCGGTTGCGCGGCGCGCAAACAACAAGATCTATATGATATAGTATTATATGTATATGTATATATTCGTAGGTCCGCCTTCGGAGGTGAAAGTACCAAAGAGCCGCCGTCGTGTATCGCCCACGGCGGTCTGCAAGCGATGATACTCCTCGAGCATCGAACAACTCTAAAGAGATCTGGACTATCTCAGTCTATCTCATTCTCTTTCCTCTATCGTTCTCTCCGTCCTCCCGGCTTCGATGTGGTGCCAAATCATGGACACCAAAGGCGACCTGGACACACGGTTCAGCCTCGCACCCGTGAGGCCCCATCTTGCCTTTTAAAAGGCGCTAGCGTCCGATCGCTCCTAGTAGCGATGCCTTCAAGCTCTGAGGTTTGGGCCCCACGATTCTCCATCTTTGACTAGCATGCGGGCCCGAGGCCAGAGCGAGCCGTGATAGACGGGACAGCGACAAATGGATTTACGACAAACCTCACAAAGCTCCGACAAAACGCGAAGAACTTCGTGATCTGCTCTGCAACTCTGCTCGACAGCGGCTCTCTTTGAACTCGAGGAGTCGGGTCGGGTCTCTGCATGCAAATTTCGCTGCGCATCATGCGGCAGCGCTCAGCTGAGTGCGCGATCAGTCAATTTCCATGTCTTGAGGTCTCAAATCTTCATCGCCTGCTCCGCCTGCTCCGCCTGCTTCGCCTTCTTCATCTTCATCCCCTTTCGCTTTCACCTAGGTCGATTTTTCGCTCCCGACCCCCCAAGGCGACTTCGGCCCCGGGTTCCCCTCCTCTTTGTCCTCAGCTTCCACCTCCATCTCCTGAAAAAACAAAAAAATTGGAAATCGAGTTACTTTTCTTTAGAACAAATTGCACCTGTTTTAGGTTGAAAATGGATCCTCTCCAAAAGGCTCCTTCGGTTCCTCTTTGGGTTTTGGCTCCTTGAGAATCTCATCGGCCATCTTGGCCAATTCCTGAAAGCAAACAAGGTATGTTGGATCCTTATTTTTTGCCTGTGGCCCTGCCTCCTTATAATTGAGCAGGCGCGCATTTAAAAAAGTAAGGGTGAAGTTTGCTCCTAGCTACTAAGATGTATACTACAGTTCACATACGATTTTAATTTTAATTCCTACAGATTTGAAAAGGCTCCAGCTGAGTGCATGGCCTGATTTCGTTTGTCCATCTCGGAGCACGTTACCACTGGTTTTTGGTACTTGGGCATCGCCTCCTGCAAAAAACTGCGTTTGAAAACGGGCATACTTTTCGCACCGTCCGGAAATCACTGTTTTCTCGCATTTTACAGAAAACGTGGGCGACGAAAATTTAACTGTCCAAAGACCGACTCTTCCTGCTTCTTCTGCGCATCGGTGAGCCAAAGCTCTAACCTCGCTCTATCTTCGTTTTAGGAGCAAAATGCAATTCACTGACTCATGCACCATGAAATGCGTCATGCATCTACTTACGATATTTTCTTGAGTTCTTCGCTTTTGAGCATGAGTGATAGTGTGGTCATGTAACACCATTTCGACACCAAACTTAACATCAAACGAAGTCAAAACACGGCCGAGACGGGGGTTCTCCGAAGGGTTCAATAGGTTGCGCTCAGCTTGGATAGTCGATGTTCGCAGGGCCACAGGTGAGAAGCTTGCACACTGATGCTTGAATGGCCACTGCATGACTGGAAATGAATTGTTGAAGATGTATGTTAGTCACCCCACATGGTAGTAAGTTATAACTTCCAAATATGAGTTAAATATCGACACTTTATGTTTAAGATAAGTATATAAGTTGTAAGTAACTTATAAGTAGGTGTTGAGTGTGTGTGTGTGTGTGCCCGTCACACTCCGTATCCAGGAGCTTAATCGGTCCACCAAGTTTCCCACGTTCTCGCAGGGGGATGCCCCACACCTGAAGAGAGGGCATCTAACAAAGAGGCTCTTCAGGATGTGCGGATATCAGCAAAGACGCTTGCTGACGCACCTGCAACCGGAACTTTTGACCACACTGTTCCACTGTCGATTTGTTTCATGGTGGCTTTGCATGCTACTCCCCACAAACAGGTTTCCCTCCGCATTGCAGCTTGCCGCGCCACCGCTGTTTTCCGCAGACACGCAGAACAATTTTTCAAACACCTTCAAGTGTTCGGACGATTCACCTTTCCGTTCCATCGCTCCTTTTGACGTGGATTATGGTTAACTACAAACGTTGTGACTAAGTGTGTATCGCTGTGTCTTCCCACTGGGTACACAGTGTGAACCTCTCGCAAGAGAGGCGCTGAAGCCATTCCAGACTACCGGTTCTCTGACTTGAAGTGCTATCATCGTGGATCATGGTTTGACATTTTTTGGCCTCGCCCACGAATCGATTTCTCGCCGCCGGGCATGCGGGCTGGACGCCGCCGGGCATACGGAATGTTAACGTAGATCATGCCAGGTCATGCACGCCATGTCCACTTCCCATGTTTCATGCTGCGCCATTCAATTTTGTGTTCTGCCAGAGTTTAGCACATTTAGGGTTCTCCAGCGTTATTTTAATTTTGGATTCTGTTCGCACTTATCGTAGTGATTGCCACCTTTGGTTTCGGCCGCGCAGCTTCCTTCCGCTGGCGCTGCCGCCGCTGCTGCTGACATCAACGGCGAGTTGTATTCTTCAGCAGCATGCAGTTTCCTTGGCCGTACCCTTATGCGCCACCAGCTTTTCCGCAACCTACAGCTACTCCACTACCACAACCCACAGCGGTTCCAATTCCACAACAACTTGGTCCGCTATACAACCCATACCATGGAATCCGTCAGCTGACCCAGCCTGTTTGGCAGATACCACAGCAGGCTCCCTTTCCCAGTCTCATGCTGCGTTCACTCTCAGCTCCATCCGACCATCCGCCGGTCAGCTCCGTCCCCACCTCCACCTCCACCCACCAGCACTTAAGGCTGCATTGGGCTTGGAGCAGCTGTTGGGCAAGGGCGTGGAGCTGGCGCAACTGCAACTGCACCTTCAGCGCGCTGGCATCATAGTACCGCACAGTGATCCTTGGATAGGCCTGATCCACCTCTGCTGGATACTTGCAAAGTCCGCCCGAGCATCTGGCCTTGAAGAAGATCTACAGCTCTGTCTTGCTGGGCCTTTGTACTGTATGTCAAGAAGCAGTTGATCGTTCTTGTACTGCTTGACCAAATGAACTTGTACCAAGCCTTCATCAACATTCAACTTGCTCAACTCATCTTTCTCCGTGGCCGACATGAACAAGTGTTTGAGGAAGACGCGGAACGGGTGGTTGTCTCCAGCGCCAGACGTCATGTTGGCACGATCGCCAAAACGGGTTGGACCGGTTGAATGCGCCTATACAAATGTGTTTTGTAGTTTGTGGGTTACGTCGATTTGCATGCGCAAATGCCTCTGCCCCAAGATCAGGGGTTCGGCATCTAAATGTAATCATGCGTTGATGACTTCTAGGTTTATCTCATGGATTGCTCTTGGTTTGCATGCTCCTTTTGTCAAGTTCTGTGTGTCTAGCCTGGCTACTGTTCCCTGTAACAGTAGCTGAGACTGTCATGACAACATATACGTATGAAGCAAGTGAGTTGAACGTTCAATAACCATGACTGTCCGTGGTTCGAGCCTCACGTCGTCAAAGCTTAAGTTCCACTTCACTGAGTGTTTCAGTTCCTCAAGACTCACAACAAGTTTGCACAGTTCATTGACCGTCCCTCTCTCTCTCTCAAGGTTCCTGTCTCCCTGATACTCGAACTGATACAAATTTAGATGCATCGACGTGTACAGGACCTCAACATTTGATGTCTTGAAGTTGAGAAGAATCAGTGCCAGGGCCTCTTCCCCTTGAGGCGGGTGGAAGTCCTCCCTTTGGCGTTGATGCGGGTCCTCAGCTTCATAGCGACATTGCTCCCTTCTTCTTTGGAATCAGAGACAACCTTGGTCAGTGCCAGACCCAACTTCGCATCGATGGAGTGGAACCTTGGATCACCGGAATCCAGATCTGGATCATCGATTGCTTCCCTAATCCAGTCAATCCATGGTTGTTGATCAGAATCGTTCGCTGCAATGATGATTGCCCGAATCAGATTGGCTTTCCATAGTCCTAAATCATTTACTTTGGGCCATGGGGGTACATTCACCTGGATTCCTCCTTCCTGGAAACTTATTTGGCGGTTGCAAAGACGGGTGAGGATGAAGGTGCTGATGCTGCTTCGGACAACTTATTCCTAAGCTCCGTGTTCATAGCTTCATGTTCTTGCGCTTCTTCAAGTTCCTCAGTATAGCTTGCAAAGGCCTTTTCATACCACTCATACATTTTGTCTCGACTCGTTCTCAGCCTGTGTGCTTCACCTTCGTAATATTTGCTGTCTTCCCTTAGCCGCGAACTTTCTTCGTCATTTGGTCGAGAGGTTGGTAACCCTCTTCCATCACGACTATGGCCTGGACTGCGTTCTGAGTAGGCTTGGCCATGAAGAAGATTTGCTTTCATCTGCGCGTTCTCCGACCTTGTTTCCCACAGATTCTTCTCGGTCTCCCTCGGGCTCTTGGATCTTTTCTTTGATTCCTGCCCCTTCACGACCATCAAAGGCGGGAGTCTTCAAAGGGTTCTCTCGTTTCAATACTTTGTTGGCCTCGGTGAGGGCAAAGTTTGCGTCTTTCAGTTGTTGCTCTTCCTTGGCTTGTCGATGAATACCATCCATTGTGTTCTCGAGTGTGGTCATCCCTTCAGCCATCCTACACATGCATTCGTTCAATTCTATTTGAGCAAATGCCCAAACGTTCAAGAAAAATGTTTTCACGTACAAATGCCTTTTGGCAAGGCAAAACTTGAACAAATGGTCTTTGAACCATAGAAATAGCATGCGCTTTGCATCAAAGCACAATGGAATTCTAGCAACACCCAATGTCAACACACCAGAAATAGCATGCAGTTAGCAACAAACCACAATGGAATTCTAGCAAAACCCAATGTCAACACACCAGAAATAGCATGGGATTTGCATCAACACACAAAGGAATTCTAGCAAAACCCAGTGTCCACACACAAGGAATAGCATGCGAGTTGCATCCAAACACAATGGAATTCAATGTCAACACATCACAAATAGCATGCGGTTTGCATCAAACCACAATGGAATTCCAACAACACCCAATGACAACACACCAGAAACAACATGCAGATTGCAACAAAACACAATGGAATTCTAGCAAAACCCAGTGTCATATTACAACCTGTTAGAGGGGAAGATTCCTCAGCAAGAGCGCCAACACCAAAAAACATCACAAACTCCACATCCAGCCAGAGTCACCCCCATCATTTTCACTCCACAACACGGATGCCGAGCTTGTGTCTCAACAGAACTAAATATCTTTGGAGCCCAGTCTTCGGGGCTGTGCGCCGATGTGTTCGGCGGACCAGACGTCCGACTTTCTTTAAGAAGTCTTCGTCCATCCACGTTGCGTCCTGCCAGCAATTCTTGCGGCTAGGACGCAACGTGGCTTCAAGTAGTATATGCTGTAGCAGGTGCAGCTTTGGACGCACTCGAAAGGTGGACGGATCTGCATGGACCCTATTGATCCAAATTTTCAGGAAAAGTTCACCGCAAGTAAGAACCTGTTCAGCTTCCTCCGCACTCAAGAAAGCATCTCCAGAGCTGAGGACGCTCAGGAAAGCATCTGATGTCCAGAGCAATGCGTACTCGTGTTCCAGACCACGAATTCCACCCTCAAACTCTTCCTTCAGCCAACGAAGTACTAGATAAGTGTCATAGCCTTTCGCAAGCATCTCAGGAAATTCATGTTTCTTGAGTTTGAGGTTGTCACGAGTGAAACGCTTGAATGCAACACTGGCATGCTTCCAGTACTCCAACCGTGAACTTGAAGTTGACGTCAGAAGTGGCAATTGCCCTGCATTGATCAAAGCCTCCATGAGATCACGTGGGTCCAGAATTGGCCACTCCTCCAAAACCAATGACTGCTGGATGATCTCCATCAGCCTTTTCATAGGTCACTGGTACCTGAACTCTTCTGAGCTTGCAGGGTACTGCGAGTTTGTTACGAACAATCTTGGCATGAAGACGTTGTTCACCTTCATACCCAGTAGCTGTCCTTACAAGGCCCAAAAAAAACACAAGGACTCCGTGAGCAGCGATAACATGCATCTTGCAGACAATGATCCCAAACGTAGTGCTCCCATATATCTTCCCTATCTTCTCTGCCACAGCTTGTGACAGGTCACCAGATCCAAAGGCAGCAGCAATCCTAAAGAACCCAGAATGGCAGGGAAAGAGATACCTTTTTTAAAACAGCAACCACATCTTGAAGAACATGTGTTTGGTAAAACGCTGGAAAGTTAAGTGGTCAAGAGTCGCTTCATCCAGCGCTGCGCGAG